TTTTACAAAGATTATTAATGTAATGACAGTAAACTCATTGTTTAAATAAAGTCTCACATTTAATGCCTGTTTGCGATTAAAAAAAAAAAAAATATATAAGCAATAAAAATATTTTTTTTTATAAAAAATTATAATATAACCTTGTAATATATATATAATTAGATCAAAACTAAAAAAATAAAAACTTTTAATTTATATATTATAACTGGTTTAAATCTTAAAAAATATTAATATTATAGAAAAAAATTTATAACTAAATACTTTGTTTTTATTTTTTGTTTTATCGTATAACTTGTTATTTTAATAGGTAATTTTTTTCTTATATAATATTTTTTTTACTAATATTTACAGTTTTATCTTTTTTTTTTTATATAAGTTAAAAAATTAAGATTATAATTTTATTAAAAATAAAGTATTTTATATTGATATTAGATTTTTTCAAAATGTAACTAATAATATTTTATATAATATCAATAATACAAATCCATTTAACTTTTGAGAATACTTAATATAAATTTTTTATATAATATTTGTAATTATTTCTTTAACATATTTAATAATATGAATTTAATTTTCAACTTGTGTTTTGTACAATAGATATTTGTTAAATAAATAGATATTTGAATAAAATTTATAAAAAAATTGTCCTGTAAAAAATGATTATATAAGAATTTTATATCTGAAATATATAATAAATTGGTTTTTTACTTTATTAGTAGTAAACTAATTATTTTATAATCTTTTATTAATTAGGAAAGTGTATTAATTAAATTGTTATTTATTAATTTTAAATAATATAAAAAATCAGATTTTGTTGTTTAAAATAATATTGCTATAGTAAAGTCAAATGAAATTGTAAATTGTTTTTTAAAATATAGAGTTGAGATAAATTATAAAAGCATCTTGATATAATGAGATGAATTTATTCTTATCAAGTTTATATTTTTTCAATATATTTTGTATTTGACTTTTGAATTAAAAAAAATTTTTTTTGATTCTTACAAATTATTTTAATAAAACATCAATCATAACCTATAAAAAAATATAATATATATATTTTTTTAATTCAAAGTTATTTTAATTAATTAAAATTAGTTAAAGTATTCTAATTTCAACTGTTGATTGTGAACATGGATTTTCAAGATAAAATCAAATCAAAGTTAAATCACTTAATTTTAATAATAATAATACTTTAGATATGTTTATGAGTATTTCATTAGAAGAATCTGAATTAGAAAGTTTTGACTTTTAATCAACATTTAATGCTTGGAAAAATAAAAAAAGAAGATAAATTTTAGTTTAAATTTATATGTAAATTTATATTGTCTTTATTAATAAATATATTGTATTAATATTAGAGAATTATAATTTATTTTATTTAATAATAATAATAATTTTTATCGATAAAATTATATTTAGTGATGTTCTATAATCAAAGTTACGATACTTTATAATTCGGAAATGGGATCAGCATCACGTGTAACATCTATTCATAGTATCGGTTCTAATACAGTAAAGTGGAATTTATGCCCTGGTTACGACACATTCCCCAATCTCACAATACTTGTTTAAGTAGATTTACAGGGGATAAGGCAGAACAAGGGGTTCGCTTTATTAACATCACTTCATATATACTTTCTTTACATGCCACACACCGATAAAAAAGAATCGATCGAAAGGAAATAAAGGAAATAAAGAAAATAAAAGAAATAATGAAGGTCGAGAGTCGATTACCCTTTTTGGTAACATCCTTAATGCGCGATCGTCGGGACATCATTTTAGTCACTAGCATCGATCGCCTTTTCCCCATAACAATAGTTTCTTGAAAAATAAAATTTATACAACAAACAAATAATAGAAATTCATACGTCCATTTTCTTTTATAATTTTTTTTTATTTATTATCATTATTTCATTATAATTCGTCTGATAATATAATCATAAACATGTAAACAACATTGTGCGTAGTGAAGTGAAATTTGGAAATGTACATGAAAAAAAAGTGAATAATTACAAAAATAAGAACGAAAAAATTGCAAGTCTTAGGTAGATTGTTAATCTTAGGGATGATTGTCTAAATTCTCTTTGAAGAGAGATTTTTTGTTATAGAGGGAAATATATAAATATATATTTAATCTATGCTTACGTGAATTTTTAATGGGAGATTTTAAAATCATAATAATCACTTTCATATTATATGGTTTAATTGATTTGGTTCTCACAAAAAGAAATACAAACAGCCTGAGCCTTCGCACCCAGTCCAAGAAATTTGATATTTTCCCAAACGCTATGCCAATTCTCTGGAGTAAAAGTATCGTACCACTTATCATCGTTTCCGTCATATAAATATTCAAGGATTGATTCGAATGTTCCGGGGGAAGGAACAGTGATGGTGATGGATTCACCCCTGTTCTTGGCGCGATTATTAAAGATTTCGCTAAAGTAATTTGATTGGAGTACAAGGAATTCCTTATGCACCCAAAATTTTCGGGTAATTCCCTCGACGTGGAGTTCCGCAGAAGAGGTCGCTTTGTCGTTGTAAAATTGGTAGCCTATCAGGTGAAGTTTTTCAATGAGGTACTCGGTGATTGGATTAGTGTCTATCAGTTTATGCCCAGTATGATTTCCTTTAATTCGCTTCTTTCGAATCCTTCTATCTGTGGTCATTTTTATCGTTTATACCAACAGCTCTATAGACTCTGTGAATCGCTCTAATAGGTAGCGTGGGCGTAATCTCTATGTTACGATTTAGATCTCTTCGCTAACTCATAGAGACAGAAAATATCGAAACTCCTTTTATGCCCGCTGAAAAGTCAGATGATTACCCTTTGTGTCACATAATCACAATAGGTTTTTTTAGGGGTCAAGGGGCGGGTCTGAAAATCAAGTAATGGTTTCAGGGTTAAAACGACCTAGATCCCAGCTATTCGCTCTTATATTATAATTAATTGACAAACGGCACAGTTACGACCAGCGCATTCAATAGGCCGTTTTAGCCTTCCAGAGGGTCACGGTCGATCGCCATTCTGAATTGCATAGAAACGTCAACTGATTCTCTGACAGAAGGAGTAGTGTTCACCTGAAACATTGCATTCATGAGAGAAAAAGTATTCTTTCAAAACTTAGGAAACCAACTTTTTATGGAAATTGACTCCTCTTTAGCACTTGACAACAAACAAACTTTAATTCACTGATCCTGCTAAGATTAGCCATACATTATTCCCGCCAAAGTAGGTTATTTGCATATACAACGATAAACTCCTCATGGGACCAGTGTTTTGTGTTTGACACTTAAGATAATATCCACGTTTCATGTAAACCATTTCTTTATTTTCACAAACCCTGATGAATGTAAGCTTTACATTGCCATTACAGTACATCGCATAATACAGTTTCTTTTGATTGGACGCCTATTTATCATGTGATCTATATCGTTAGTGTTGGGGTGTTAACAGACAACACAGTATATGGTATACAGTAGATGCAGTTATGATAATAAGTAAACTAATAAAGCGGTAAGATGTTTAATGTAGAAATTAGCAGATACAATGTGAACATAAACATTAGTAAAACCGATATCGTATATTGTTCTTTTGAAATTTCTATTAAATCGGTTCAATATACAGTATATAAATCAATTGAATATTTTTTATTCTACAAAGATATGTTAAATTTGTCGACACTAGAAAATGTTGGGGACAGGAAGCGGAATCAACGACTTAGTGGTACAACTATCTGATGATAGATGTGGTCAATTGATTATTTCGTGAAACCATGAAATACCTAGCGAGCTTCCGGGAATTAGCGGAAACAAAGAATAGGGTAGGGGCAGTCATTGTTGTTTTACTTCATAAAACCGGGGCTTTGGTGAGAAACGCCAGTTTTCAATTCCATGCAATTCCGTAATTGCATGATTTCTATTCATACATTAACCTTAAATAACAACAAACTATTGGTCACAAAAGTAAATGATCATTTTTGAGAAGTAAGGTTTTTTATTTTGCTTCAAGAATTTTTTAAATGTTACATATTTGTTGAAAAAACCATGTCCGATGAAACCGCCATTGCTCAAATTAGTAGTTATTTATTGGTAAATTTACCACCATATTTCAGATGGGTGACGATGCAATTGATATCAAGGCAGCTACACTTCAATTGATATCCGTACAACAATAACAGGAATTTGGGTTTTCAGCGCTGTCTCTTGGTTACCCATCATGTTTATTTGATACAATTCCAACGACAGTTGATGTAATCGCCCTGTAGTAGCATATGAATTGATTTTTATTAGTATTTTTGTGGGGGAAATAAGTCGATCGGATAAACACGGCTTGGTCGTAATGCCGTGACATTGATGAGTTATCTATTCTTAACAAAGTGAGGTGAATTATCTCATCTTTATTACTAGTAAATGCACGCAGAATTCGTTGCACCACATGAGATCCAATATCAGATATACAGTAATTTTTCTTATTTACATTTATTTAATGCCGCAATGAATATTCAGCCTTAAAAAATTACAGCTTTCTAACAAGCGAATATGGCAGGCTATACGGTGAGTATGCCGCAAACTCCGACCAGACTCCAGTGCAACCTGCAATAGGAGAAAATGACCGTGTGCGCATTACTCTGTATCCGTTATTTAGCCATTCGTTTCACCTTTACCATTCTTTCCTGATGTTAAACATGCTTTTAAAACCGCCCAACTGCCTATCGCTATGTTGACTGTCTTTTCTGCTAGTTTCAGTTCTCGCGGAACCGATCGTCAGTCGCGGGACCTCGAGGACGATCGTTGGTCACGTTACGCGAAAATCGCGTAATTATGTAATATATGCGCACGAATTACTAAAAATACTGGTACTGTTATATCGTAGTAAATTCGAACTTTCGATCGTCAAGGCAAATCGAATTAACGTTCTAACGGGTTGATGTTCTTTTAGAATGTATATCACTGAGTGCAAAAATACCGTTTTTGTGATTATCTCCATGTTGCTTCAATGCTTTTGATGCTCAATGGTCTTTTAAATCTTTAACAAACGTGTCATATCCTATACATCCTAAGTTGCTTATGTGATTCACCATGTGCCTGGTACACAGCTTGTACGTTTGAGTTTTGATGTTTCAAGAATTTAGGTCGTGTCGCCGTTTATTTTGCCGATTCCCTATTCTTCTTGTTTGTAACCTTTTCAGTTCTTAATAATAAATAATTCTGGATACTATTATATCTACATTGATTTCATAATGCACTTATAGACCTTCTACTAATATTCTATGGAATAGGAACTATCCGTCTTTCGGTAAAATTCACGCCAAACATTTGTCAAAGGATGTAGTTCTTTTTTCCGACTTACTGTAATATTGTCACGTGATTGAAATCAAACAATACTGTGCTGTACTTTATATATTCTAGCTTCTTTTACTTTTTTCTAAAATAATACCCTTTTTCTTTTCTCCGAACAAGCAAATAATTATGTTTCGTAAAACCGGTTGATTTTCAAAGATTTCCATTAAACATACCGATAATAAAATAGCATTTTCATTTCTTTCGCGCCCGCTCGTATTGATACGTGGTTGGCTACTACTTAATAATAGAAGCACAAAAGGTATACAGTTTCTTACACACCCCATGAAAATGCGATACAAGATCGCAGTCCGGGTCACCTCCAGCAATATCAAAGGTTCAATTAAAATAAAAACCAAATCTCAATGATAAAGATTCTGTGCAATATTGACAATACGCATGGATTTTCTTTCCGATATACGGTATCCGCTGATGTTAATTATAAATTTGTTCTTTAGAGTATATTCTCCGATAGTTATTTGACTGACTAGTGTAATTTAGGTAAAAAATCCATATTATTAAAAAGTAACATGATGATGGCTTCCGAGGTAACTATGTACGGTACTACATAAATTGTTCGTATTTCGTTGGTCAAGTCCTATTTTTGGAAATCTTAAAATTCATGCATTCATTGACAACGTGACTCAAAGAGAGCACTTATGGTCTCATTCATAACTTTAATAGCGCAAGACAAGATGTGGCTTTTCTCATCTCAATTTTGAGATTCATTAAAGTTAGATTTGACGTTTTTTCCTTTTTTTCGATATACCGTTAGCATTCAACCACTGAGGTGTTTTGATTAAAGACGGTAGCGCAAAAAAACAGTGAAATCAAACGTTGGAAATTTATTGGTTTCTAAATATTGGAGTTCCTTCATAACATGATTTATTTATTTATTTAAATTAAATGTATGCACGTACATGCGTGCTCTGTTTGTACGTACAGACATAGAATCTCTCCTGATTGTGTGACACGTTAAAAATTCAAAGATTGTTCAAAGTTTTGGGAAGGAAATGTGCAGTTTATAACAACGCCTTGTTAATTGAATCAAACCAGTTTGGCTAATAAGAATTGTTGTACTAAGGAAAAAAAAAATTATGTTTCCTTCTAAATCAAAGACCGTTACCTGCCATGCGATGCATTGCATGTTACACGGATTTAAGGCTTACTGAAACGTTATCTACATTTGGATGGATACACGAAGAATTGAATTTGTGTTATGATTTAGGCTTACGATTTTAAATTTAATGAACTCACGAGGATGCATTTTTGGCACTTTCACCTCTTGGAGCTTCTCACCGTTACTTTCTTTTTTCCCAAACTGCGTCTCATTTCATCTTGACGACGCTTTTTTCGACATCGCTAGTATTGCTTTAGCAAATTTTTACGTAAACAAATTTGTTACCTGCAAAATATTTCATCTTCACAACCAATTTTACTTGAATTATTATTAACTCACAAAACTCGTCCGTCGAAGATGTCATTGCTCACAAAAGTCAAGTATCATTATGAGATGTGGAAAATCAATAAATATACTCGGCGTAGGTCGACAGCAACCCATGACTTTGAGCAAAAAGACCCAAATTTTTACAAGCAGAATTACGTCAACGGAGTGTATTTAAACACTAATGATAATTCCAGAAGATTTTCCGAGAGTTTTGTAAAGAAAAGCAGCAAGAACCGAAATAGCGCAACGTGTAGCGAACATTATAATTTGTACTAAGAGGTGCACATCCCGTTGTAGTGTTGAAAGGGGTAGCGTGTGTGGTGACGAAGGAAAGCTTTCACATACACTCGGCTCATTTCACCAAGACGAACTTTCTATTTTTCGACCCCACTTTTTTCCTATATTCGTTCATCTACCTTAGATTGAATAGGATAATTCTTTTTTTTTTCTTTCTGTTGCTCTTTTTCCAACATTATTGTTAAGTTCTACTTATCCCTGTTACCACATCATATCTTCTTATGGACTGTTAATTTGTAAATACTGTAACATCATTTCCGTGTCATTCTTCATTTTACGACCATAGGTTAATAGACATGTACTTTATACTGAAATTCTGACATCCACTTAATAAATCATGGCATAACAAATGTTTATTTTATTGCAAAGTATCTATTATGATATTCATCTCGTCGAATGTTTATTTAGTCCGGAGCGTAAGTATACTGTATATGATAAAAACCTCGCCCAAGAATTGAGTCGATAAAATCATTTGCCCCAATCGATTACATTGTAAATCTGTAAGCTCCGAACTTAACCACGGTTTCCGTTCCCTAATTACCTAAATTTTATTTTTTTTTGTTTTTTTCACTCTATTTAAAAATTTCTCTATTTTCATCTTTCTACATTTTGTTACAACGAGAACATATCTTTATTACAAAAATCCGAATTTCCAAGATCAGTATCTTCATTTGCATAACTTTATGAATGGCTGGTTGTACGACTTGTCTGACATACGTGACCACGTAGTCACGGTTAAATTTGTTTATTAAAAATGTTATCACGTTGGTTAAAAAAATCATTATTTAATTTATGTTAATTTTATTCTTTTAAAAATTTCATTATAAATAATAATAATAATAATAATATCAAATTTTTCATTACGATATTGGCATATCAGATCCAATATTACAAATCGTAATAATAAAAATCAATTCAGATTATTAATGAAGAAAAATCATCAATTCTTAAAAATTAATTATAAATATTTTGCAAAAAAAAATCGTTTTTTTAATTGTAAATATAATGGATTTTTGTTATGATATAATAGAAGAAGAGGGCAAATGATTTGTCAAGTTTTGCTGTAAGACCATAAAATATTCATGATTGTTGCCATTAAATAAACATAGGAATGGACAAATTCTGATATTGTATTTTTTGATTAGTAAAGCAGCTAAAAGTTAATCAAGTGTTTGCAAAATAGTAAGAAAAGCAGATTGGATAATACCAAATTGCCTGTGCCACTTGTATTGATGTGATTTTTTTCAAAATGTAAAAGAAAATTTTATGGTTAGTGAGCTTAATGAGTAAAATTTTTATGGCAATAAAATCATAACAATTCTGAAGTTTTATTGTGTTCAAGTCAGCCTATGAATATAGGATTTTATTAGATATTATATATTTGATATCCAGTTTAACTTTAATTGATTTGTTCATTTTTTCTTAAAGAAAGATTCTTTTTTTATTTGAAGAAATGAAAGTATTAATTATATAATCTAATTATACTAATATAATTTATTAAGAGATTTGTTTAATTATTAGATCATTTCAATCTTTTTATAAGACAATGACATTAATAAACTTTTAATTTATTTTTGTTTACTTGGTTTTTATAACAATAAATAAAATTTGCCTAAAAGATAAACTTCAAAATATCTAATCCTTTTTTTAGATTTAAAATAAATTATTTTATTTTTAATAATCAAGAATTGATTTCTTTTTTAATTAATTGTTTTAATATTAATAATTAAATTGATTTTCTTTTGATTGTATTTAATAGAATTAAAAAATAAAAAAAGGCAATATGTATTAATGATTTTTTAAAGAAAGTACAAATTTGAATTTGCAAAAGTAATATTATTTACTGTATATTGTTAGATCAAAAAATAATAAGTTAATTATTTTATTAGTCCAAAATTCATATAACTAAAAATAAGTTAACCATGAAACATTTTTATTAACAAACTTTTTCTTCTTTTCCAATATTAATTCTTCTCTTGATAATTTGAACTATATATGTAATGAAATTGAATTCAAATATTTTTCAAAAATTATATTATTATTAAAAACATAATAAATTAATTAAAAATTATATTTAATTAGAATAGAATTATTATATATAATAAAAATTAACAATATAATCACATATATAATCTGAATTACATAGTAACAACTATTTTTTTTTAAACAATACATACTTGAAAAAATAAGTTTATTAATTAAAATATTCTTTTTATAACAATTCAATTTTATCATTTAATAAAAAAAACTCTTTTTCACAACTAATTAAATTTGTAAAAATTTTCTTTTTAGAAAATAAAAAAAAATGATTTTAAAAAAAAGATAGCAAGCAATAGTAGCAGCCATAAAAGGCCCAACATAACAACAACTGTAACTGAACAATCTATCAAATATAAAAAAAGAGTAAAAAGAAAAAACCTATCACTCAGAACACAACTATATACAAAAAAATCTAATAATACAGTTAACAAAAGTAATTCTAATAACAAAATGACTGAAATCACTCCAAACACAGAAACAAACTTATTATCTACAATCATAACAACAATTATCAAACAACAAAACATCTAAACAAACTTCGAAACAATACTTAACTATCAAACAAAGCTGAATAGTCAAGAATCAAACTCAACTTCATTATGAAGTAACCTGGTAGAACAGAAAACATTACAAAAAGTCCAAGAAATCAAAACAGTATTCCTGAATGACACTAATAAAGAAATAAAGACTGAAGATTAAAAATTTACTGACAAAGACTGGTTTACAGTTAACAAAGAAAAAGAAAAAAAATCTATAATAATAGAAAAAAATCAAACCCCATTTTAATCTTTAACAAAACAGTTC